AAAAAATAGGTTTGATCGTCTAATAGTAGTTGTGTATGAAAAAGACCAAGACTCACCAGTACAATATTTCCGCAAGACCAAAACCAGGTGGTGATGGCCAGACCGGCAATTACAAATAGTGATTTTCCGACAACTGCATATTTTAAAGAAAGAAATGCTTATGATTCAAAATATTATATTGAAAAATAAAATAAAATCGTCAGATATTGAATCAATCAATCAATCTTTTAATAATTTTTTTCTTCAAAGTTTTATTTGTATTAAATTACCTACTAAAATATTATATTATTTATTTAAAGATTTCCTATGTAAGATAGTTTATCTAGTAAAAATCTGTTAAAAAAATACAAGACTTGCAAAGAGTCTTGGCAGAAGTCTTAATCTTGGTCTTGTATTTGCTCATCACTACTTATAAAGGTCACGGAAATAGCCAATCAATGACACTGCAATTAACTAATCCAGGAAAACTTCTGCATGCATACTAAGAACGTCCATGTAAATTATTATAGCAATGATTATTGATTAATATAACACGCTATGTGGCAGACGCTATAATAATACCTAATCATGAAATTCAACATAATCTGAATTGAATATTTGGACTCTACACTATGTCCTGGATGAATGAAAATGTTGGTGAATCTTATCCCGTTAGTTAGCTTGAAAAGCAAATAACCGAAATACAAGTCCATGAGTCGCAAAGCCCCCTAAAACAATAATCGATATTAATTCAATAACCGCGCGCGATTCTCTCCAGATTACCCAGCACGCGTCCTTGATTTCCCCGGAGCATCCTGTCCCGCCTTCGCTCCCCTTAGGGGAAACCGGACTCTTAAGGCCACGTGGCGCACGTGGCCCACCGCCGCCGCCGTCACTGGAGGGCGGTGCACCGACCAGCGGCGGCAGCGCCACTTTGCCACCGTGTAATTTTGGGGCTTCGGATGCTCGGGGGCTCCCATAGCCATTAGAGATGGTTCGATAACCCAGAAATGTATCGATACTTAGTTATTTGAGTATTATCGATACTTACCACCTCAAGTATCGATGCTTACTGATATCGAACATCTACTATTATCCAGCAATTATCTATATCACTGTCAACTATCTTTATATCACACATAAAACATTAGTATAATTACTTAAATTAGTATAATATTTACCCAAGAAGCAATTTCACGACTTGCGACCACATGTTTACTAAACACAACGTTGGATTAGTTACAAAAAATAGTTAGCTCCCTACCTTGGGTATTAAAATAAATTTAAAAATAAATTTTTCTAACGTTGTGCCGACGTTGGACTAATACTACATCAAAGTAGAAGCTTCTGCGACGTCGAATAAACGTTGTCTTGTAACCTTTTTTGCTTAAGTGATCTTTAGGTGATTCGGACAACGTAGTTACAACGTTGGACAATATAGAGTTTCCCGACGTCTGTTTCAGGATCTATTCCAACGTTATGCAAACGTCGTCTGTTTTACTAATTCCAACGTTGTTTAGATCACAACCAAACCAAACCAAACCTTTTTGCAACTGTATTGAACCGTAACCTTAAATCTTAAATTTTCACTTCATTGTTCTGTTCAGTCAGACAGTTCAGTGCTGTTTTTGTTTTTATAAAAAAAACTTAATTAAAATGGGACATAAGAAAGGTACATATAAAACTAAATTTAAATATACATTGACATGTATTACGATAGTTTATCCACTCCCTCGTTTATTTAGATTATAGAGGGCGGCACAAGCTAGACTCTAGGATGACTAAATTAGGCAATCTTGCGACTAGTATACTACCTGTTAAGGCCGAACTGCGACTTTATTAGTCCAGTATGCGACTACTCGAACTACTCCATCTTAATCTCTAAAACAACAAAGTGAAAGCCGCCATGTTGTTAAATAAGAAAATTATTCGTTCCTAAAATAGCATTTCCTGCTTTTTGAATACATTAACTTGAAATATTTGACCCTAAAAAACACGCGGAAACAATTTTTTCGACTGCGAATAAATTATTCTCATTTCACTAAAAAAAAAATCAAGAAAATTTTTAAAACTTCTTTAATTTTAAGGCCCATTAGTATTTTTCAAAGTAGAAACAATACATTTATCAATAAAGTTGTTTGCGTTTAACTTTTTCGCCTTGGGTAACGAGTTACAGAGTCGGTTAAAGTGTTTCAATAATTATGATCTTCAAACATCCTCCACACTTAAATACTTTTGTATTGTTTTCCTTCACTGCCATCTGACATATGTCTCTAACTAAATCATAAAAATAATATTTTTACTATAATTATCCCAATTTAGGATAAAACGCGACTTAGACGCCATATTAGTTTTGTATTTCTGTGAATTAGGATTTTAAACAACGTTGCAGTTTGTACTAAATTAGGCTTCTAGCCAACGCCGGTATCAAACGTCGTTTCGACCCAAAAATTATTCTCCAAACTAGTGCAGACTAGGGTTGGCACGAGGTTGTGCCGACGCGACGTTGCGCCCCGACGTTTGGTCGCGTGATACAACGTTGTCCCGACGTCCAAATGCTGCTTGGGTAGTATAATTAGTATATTATTTATTAATTAAATTATTAACCAGGCAGAGGCGGCTACAGCACAAATACTGCCAGAAATGTCTCGTGGCGTATATGATAGGGAATTCAAGGCGTTTGAAGAGTGGATGAAAGTAAAACATATCAAAGGTATAAACGATCTTATCCAGAAATGGCTCTGAATGCCTCTTCCTCAATGTCAGAGGGAATACTTTCCGAATCATTCATTTTTTTAACTAGTGACATTAATATTATTTACTGTCATATTGACATTGCCATGCATGGTGTTATTTGAACAAAAGTATTAAGGTAATTATTGATTCTTAGGATAAGTATATAGTTAAGTACAATAATTTTTAAAATTCATAGTAGTGTGTTTTTATAGTTAGACGTAGATAAAATGTTGTACAATACACGCCAGTTAACTCATTAAGATACTTGTGTGGTTACACTTTCACACGCGTATCTTAATTATGCTGTTAACTCACTTGTATCGTAAATGTCTATTATATGCATGTATACATGTGAGTAATGTGTGTATAAGTAGTGGCTGTTGGATAAAGTAATATATTAATTTGACTCCGGTGTTTTATTTTTCGACACCGAACAAGGTATCGAAAGAAATACTTTAAGTAAAATACTTATTTATTATCAAAATAAAACAAATATCGATACTTTTACTCGTGTTTCCTTATTAACTTGTATCGAATCAACCCTAGATGCCACCCGATCTTCGGTGCGTGTGCGTGTATTGTAACAGTTTTTTCTTTCTTCTCTCCGGCAGCGAACGAGCTTTTAATGTGATAATGCATTGTGTACGGCGGGAGTCAATGGCGTTCGCACGGCTATTAAGTTGGGCTTTTTTAAGAGGAGGCGGGATCGGTAAACGGCGCTAAATAGATGTTTCGTTTAGTTTTTATATCGGTTTTCAAAGAGAGACTTGAGATGAGAAAATAATAATTTTAATGGACCCTCGGAGAGGAATTATAATATTCTAAAAATGTAGGTTTATGCTGTTTTATAAAGAGCATAATTAATTAAAGGTGGCCAATGTTCAATATTAATCTTGTCTCACCCTGTATAAATTTTTGGATCAAGTTTTAATTTGATTTAAAATACAATAGTTAATTTAACTACATATTAAGGTATACCTGGTAGATTCTAATTTAGGTAGCTTTTATTGTAATTTAAAAATTGTTCTTTATTTCTAGAAAATGTTAAATATATATCAAAAACCTTACATTTTAGTCATATACTTCTCTTATAAAACTCACCTTTATTTTTCTCCCAGAATCCGAAAATCAATTAATATATAGGGTGTTCCATTACAAAAAAAAACTTTGACATGTAACTTTTTTTGGGAACCTGTAGAACTCTCTATATTTTTAAAAAGTTCTCTGAGTTAACCTACTACATACGCTCACAACATTTCATTTCAATACAAACAGTCGTTCTCCTTGGAGCCTCCGCGGCGTATGAGAGGCGCCACCCTGTATATCTCCGGATTGTCTTTAAAGAGGAAAAACTTTTTTATTATTGACATTTTGAGAAAAAAGCATTCTTCATAAAAAGATTTGCTTTTTTAAAATAGTTGTGATAGTAATACTAGTTATAGTTGTAATACTGATACTTTAACAACAGCAAAAGATATAACGTTAATCAAAATTAATCCTAACCATCTATCAAAGAATGAAATCGAAACTCTATTACCACAGAAACACCGTTTTTTAGAACTTCAAAAAATTCAACCATATTTGAAATTTGAAAAAGTACGTATAAATGGGATTAACCATTTTAGAACAAGCAAAATTTTTTTATCAAGAATTCATTTGTCTCAAAATGTCAATAATAAAAAAAAAATTCTCGCTTGCAAAGACAATCCGGAGACATACTGTAGATATTTTATATTACATTTCAGGCGTTTTGTGATTTTTGATAATAAAATTTGTCTAAATAACATCAATAATCTATTTGTCAACAAAATAAGAACACTAAATCACCACAATACACCAAAACACTTTTACTTTTACACTGGACGCGCGTTTCGCTAACCATGTTAGCATCATCAGCAGATGATTATAAACTGAACTGATTTTGCTGTGTAACACCAAAGGTTCCAACCCTCAACGGTAATCTATTTGTATTAACCTTGTTTACCGATGTTGTATGGGTGGAATTATGGCGAAGTTACTGTCTAATGTCTATTATTTTAATCACATAAATATGTAAGGAGTGCATTTTTAAAAACCATGACTATAAGCAATATGATCATGAATATAATCAATGACTTATGTGCAGCAAAACAGGTATTCGCAGATTTAGTTGAAGCAACTAGTTTTTTATAAATTTTTCTCATTACAAATTGGGGTATTAAAATACCCTACGCGAACACTTACAGAGAAAGACGCGAGTAACGGTAGTTATATTTAATATAAAGTAAAAATATGCAAATAAATACCTTCTAGTGTTTTGTTTCTGGCCAGCAGTGCTAGTAGTACTTCGGAATTTGGTGGACCATCTGATGCGTGGGGTGCCATCAAGCCTGGAGGAGGCGGTAGGCCGGGGATATGTGGTAATGTAGTTCTGGTTTGGTCCAAAATTGACATATTTGTTCCTAAAGATTCTGAAAAGAATACAATTATCTATCAAATGTTGATAATAAAATCAGTGTAAAGTAAAACAATACCAAATATTTAAATAAAAAAAAATTATTTTAGATTGTGGGGTCACTGTGTCTCTTATTTCCTCATTGGAGAATACTCATTAATATGAACTCACACTGGGTTAATAACCTTATGTGATTTTTTAAGAATCGCGTTTCTCGGATTATACTGAGCACTTTTTATTATAGAAAGTAAAGTAAAGATTTGAAGTTAACGTCTCCTTTTTGCTGCCAGGGCTAATCTGGACGGGGCCTCCTTTGTTTACGCGGAATCCGAACCGCGGTCCTCGGCCATATCATGGTCAATGGTCTATCGACTTGGCAAGCGTCTAAATCGACTCTTACTCACGAGATATCCGATCTCATTCGGCCTCGAACCGGCGTGAATGAGCAGTGTGTGTCAATAGATTTTACACTTTTGCCTTTATTGGACAACAGCACGATACAGAGTTTCGAACTGGCCACCCGTCCATCCACTAGTATCGCCTTACGTCGCTTAACTTCGGTGTTGTAATGGGAACCGGTGTTTCGACGTAACTGGGCCGTTGCCCTTTTTTTTAGCTGACCATACCAATAAGTATGGTAGGCTATTAAGATCGGCAAAAAAAAAGTTTTTTTAATTTCACTCAAAATGAGATATTTGGGTCATAAATAACCTAAATACAAAAATAGATGGGGCTGCTCCCCTAACATTTTGCGCTGGATGTATACCATGATAGTAAGACCCATGATTACTTATGGAGCAGTTGCCTGGTACACAAAACTAGAGCAACGGACGGCAAGGCTAAACCTATGCAAAGTCCAGAGACTAGCATGTGTTTGCATCACAGGAGCCATGAGAACCTGTCCAACAGCAGCAATGGAGGTCATTCTAGATCTAACACCACTGCACATTGTCATTGGTAGATATGCCAATGCGACAATGATTAGAATGGTCACTAACGGAATTAGTACTGGGAGAATTGTCAGATCAGGGGCTTGGAACACCCTCAAAAAGGAAATACCACTTCTGCAACTCTCAGTGGACGATATGCCAAGAACGTACAACTTTGACAAACATATCAATGTAGTATTGAGCAATAAGAAGGATTGGAAGAGCGAAACGCTTGCCCAGCAGTTAAAAGACCATACTATAACTTGGTATACTGATGCTTCCAAAACCAATACGGGAACAGGGATCGGAGTGTTTGGGCCGACAGCTAATTACTACGAACCAATGGGCACTTACCCTAGTATCCTACAGGCAGAAATCTACGCTATCGAGAGATGCGTACAACTTATCTTAGATAGGAACTATCGGAAACAAGAAATAGCCATCTTATCTGATAGTCAAGCAGCGTTAAAGGCGATCAACTCGGTATCAATCAATTCGAAATTGGTCAAAGAATGCATAGAGAAGCTGAATAAATTAGGCAAAGAAAACAAAGTCCTCCTACACTGGGTGCCTGCTCACCAAGGGATAGAAGGCAATGAAAAAGCAAATAATCTAGCTAGGAAAGGAGCGAACACTCCACTAACTGGACCAGAACCGTTGTGCTTTCCAAGTGGTAACCAATTCAAGGCGGAACTCAAGAACTTGAAAGATTCCATCCGCAACCTGGAATGGAAATCTTGCAATGGTCTAGGACACTCGAAGAAGTTTCTGAGGGCTTATGATCAAGAAAAATCACAGATCTTCCTGGGTCTGAGTAAGAACAATCTTCGGATTGTCATGGGGTTTTTAACAGGACACTGTCTCCTCAATGAACACCTCAGTAGATTGAAACTAAGAAGAAACGGCGAATGCAGATTCTGTGGGGAAGATGGTGAAACACCAGTACACCTCATCACTGAGTGCGCCGAGACGACAACCATTCGTGCCATGAATTTTGGTACGACTGATATTGGATGAGAACTACCCTCTATAAAACCGTCCCAGATACTGGCTTTTGTCAAAGCCCTGGGACTGTATGATGAGTTATGATTCAAGAAAGGGGGACACAATGGATCTGTAAGGTCGAAGTGATTAACCCCCCTCCCACTCATTCTAAATTCTAAAAAAATTCTAACCTAAATACAAAATATTTTCATGGTGTCTGTCTGTCGGTCCGTCTGTAAAACGACAACTCAAAAACCGCTAATCCGATTTTAACCAAATTTGGCACAAAAATACTGTGGCACCCGAGAATCTGGCCATTAGCTTTTGGTGGGGGTGGAGGGTTGGTAAGGGGGTATGGGAGGGGGTTAAAAATTAAAAAAAACCGTAACTCCAAAATTACAGTAGCTAGCGAAACGCGGTTTTCAATTTAAGATTAGGAATAATCTTTGCAACAAAATTTGTAATAACATCAAAATCAGTCAAAGTCGCAGTTTTTAAGATAAAAAAAAATGGAAAAATTCCTTTACTTTGAAACTAAAAGAACTGCCTACCAACTTTTTATTAACATATTTTAGTATGGGCTGCTATACGTGCCTCCCGGCGCCAATTTTTTTTAAAGAGTTAAGGTTGTCGCCCACTAGACCGCGGCGCGACGCGGCGCGGCGCCATGTGGAAATTTCTTTTGTCTGCTTGCCATGTATTTAAATGGACCAACGCACATTAGAGCGCGCAGCGCAGAAGCGCGCCGCGGGATTTCCGTCAAGAAGTCGGAAGACTTCTCTAGCAACTTTTTTCCGTCTCCCGCGTTTTGACGCGTTGCAGTGTGCGTACTCACAAGGGAAATAATTTTGCATTCGAGTCTTTTCAGTTGGCTTTTTGACTAGGAACTAGTGATACGTATCAATGGTAGAATTGTATTTTTAAAGGTAAATTAGGCAAATCGATTTTCATAAACGAATATGATAATTTTTATTTATAGTCTTCTCTCACTAGAGACAGATTGACGAAATGCCTTTCTATCAAAGATTTAATATAATTGAGGGGTGTAGAGACAAAACCGGCAATCTCCACTTTTTAACAAAAGTGACAATCTCCAATTTTTAAATTCTAATTACCTAAATATATAAAAAAGATCAGGGTTTTTTCACCACATAACTAATATACACATCAGAATAAATAAGAATTATCAAAAGTATTAGTAATTTGTCTCTTCTGAAAAAATATGATGAGTAGAGATACTCGGTGTTTTGCTTCTAAAACCCTCAATTGAGGACTGCGTAAAATGTTTCCTTTATATTTTGTAATACTGAAAAAAAATGATCTTGTCTTTTATTAAATCTGGAAAAAGAGATGGTAAAATTCTCCAAACTTCTTTCTTTTTTTGTTAATCGTATGAGTCCAAACTTTTCCTCACCCCCTCTTCCTCTTCCTCTGTTAGAAGAGCACAAAAAATACGCTTTCGTCCGTACTTGAACTCATTGCTTTAAAAACTAAACTACAGTAAGTAAAAAACACTTCGACTATAACTAAATAGCGTTGCCGCGTTTCAAAAGCGCGCTATAGTGGGCGCAGTTCCTTCGCAGCCGGAAAAAATTCTCTTCCCAGCGCCGCGCCGCGCAGCGGTCTAGTGGGCGACAACCTTTAATAATGAAAAAGTTTGTTCTCTTGCAAAAACGATACGTTTCCATACTGTATACTATTTATTGAATGAATTATATAAAAAACAATAACGATCAGATTAATATCTTAATTATGATGTTATCGTTTTATCGGGTAGTATGATGTAAATATTTAATAATTAATATTTTTATACCATAAATAAACTTATAAATTAAACATTAAATTAAGCGTGATACAGTATCATGATTTGTTACTTACTTGACATGGTTTGTCAACTTATTAATCCATTTGAAATAGAAACATATACATAGAGTTACAAGTTAGTGAAGGCTCATTCAATTACCTTCCTAAGTTATTTATTGACTAAACAATATTTTAAAATTAATATTAGAATTTCTGGTAAGTCTGAAGAGAAGCTCAACTTAACTTCTTTACCTGGTGGGATCAATGATGCTTATGCCTTTTGATTCTGAGCTTTGCTAAGTTCTACTTCGATAAAACATTTTGGTTATTTCCATTACCATGGTCGATGTAAATAAGGCATTCATAAATAAATAACACATATAATCCCTGGTTAGGTACTAAGTACAGTACTATTGTTTTCCAAGCAAATAAATACCGGTCCTATACGAAATGCTTGATAGCGCTAATAATTTATAGTTAACAAATAGTAGTAAGAAATTGGTAGTATTTGAAAGATAAGAGAAAGTGTTAATATTTATTAGAAGTTTTTTATTGTATGTTAATATTGGAATAGGGTTCCTAAAATCAAAGCTTTAAAATTTGGATATCGGATCGGAATGACATACCATTTGCAGGGCCGGATCTACCTAAGGGCTGCTTGGGCTGCAGCCCAGGGCTCCGAGGTTACAAGGGGCCCCCAGACCCCGCTAAAAACAATAGGCGATAATTTGAATTAAAAAAAAAATCTAAATTAAAAAAAACTACCATAATTTTTAATTACTGCACTCATTACAAAGTATTCACGTATTCAAATACAACGATTATCTCGTTCACTGTTTATTTATCAGAAAACTATCAAGTTCATTGTTTATTTTCAGAAAAAAATCAAAGTCTTAATTTACAATAATGTCTGGTCGAAAGTATAAAAGTGGAGCTGAGAAATGCAAATTACAGCTAGATTGAGAAAAAGAAAGAAAAAAATGTGCAAAAATTGGGACTTTTTTCAAATCAAAACATAAAAACGAGGACGAACTCGCTGAAAATTCATCAACAAGCGCCAAGGAAGGGATCTTATCTGAAGAGAATCTATTTGAAGGGAGTAGCAAATCGCAACACCAAGAAAACAAGACAAATGATGAAAATGTGCAAAGTTTTGACTACCAGCAACCCTCTCATCAAACGGAAAACGATATTGGTGTTCACCGACAGGATGGTAACACAAACACGGAGACAGAGACACGGATTTAGAGAATACCTATTAATTTTGAGTTTGAGAAATATGTTGACGTGGGCTTGTGGCCAGAATTGCTAAATAATGATTTAATGACATCCTCTCACATAAAATGACTGACTTTCAAAATAAAAATCCAAAAAATATATATTCAGCTTCTATAAAGAAATACAAGGAACAAAACAGAGCATTTTCAAATAGCCATTTCACTAAAAAATGAAAAATGGTCAATCACTGGAAAGATCTTGGCTAACATATTCAACCAGTGTTTGTGCTGTTTTTTGTTTGCCTTGCAAACTTTTTTTTTTGAATTTCTGATTGGAAACACATAGGAACTTGTTTAGAAACCCACGAAAATTCTAATGAACATAAGAAACCAATGTTAGTGTGGTTGACACGAAAAGAAAATAAATCTGCTTTAGGCAAGCAGCTTCAGGAGTAATTAAGAAAAGAAATATATTATTATCAGAATGTCCAAAAACGGGTAATTGTAGTGGTAAAATTTTTGAGTATAAGAGGCTTAGCATTTAGAGGTTCCGAGGAAGTATTTGGTTCTCCACATAATGGTAATTTTATGAGGAATCTGGAGCTATTGGCAGAGTTCGATCCATTCATTCGTGAACATATTGAATATCGGGAGCTGCCACTAAAACCGATAATATCGTACTTATCAAAAACACACAAAGACACAAAATATTATTCAACTGTGATGGATTCTACACCAGATCTGTCTCACAATGATCTGTCTCACAACTTGATATTGTATTACGATACTGTTTTCGGGGAAAAGTATATGAAAGATGTGTAGCCTTCATTAAAATTAGTAGTCATACTGCCTTACATTTATTTAATATTCTACAAGACTTTATAGAAACAAATGGATTACTACTGAGGGGGCAATCTTATGACAACGCTGCCAATATGGCGGGTCACTACAATGTTTTTTGACATGGCTATAATTGAGTACTTAGGTAGGCCCCTAAGTGGTTTCAGCCCAGGGCCCCACAAATTCACGATCCGCCTCTGACCATTTGTGTTTGTTTGTTGTAGAAATTAAACGTAAGTAGTTATATTCTGATTAGTAGATACAGTGTATACTCGGTGTTTCTCAAAAACATCTAACACTTGTTTATTTTCTCGGATAAAAAAACGAGATGTGGCGCATTAGTATACGATATAAATTAGGATTGATTGACGTATTCAATTGTTCTCGGTCACTTCCTGTTTCACCGGAAATTACTACAACTTTTGATTTTTAAATAAAACCCCCTATATTGTTTTACTTTATTTCATAGAAAATTACACTCTGAATAGAATAGCATATAATATGTCAACTTTTAGAAAACATTTTTGGAAAACTTTTGACCAAATTTTCAATTAAGGGTGCCATGGCCATAAATGTAACGGCAATTTGACTGGAAATACCAAATGTGAGGAACCAAATTATTCGTAAAATTATGATTTTTCCAAATAAGCCACCCTCATAACGAGCACGAAAAGCACTAGACGATCGAATCTATTTTTCAATGGCACCTTGATTAAAAATTAGTGTTTTTAACACAGCCATGGCACTCTATAGATTGATATTTAAAATACAATTTTTTAAGCGAGTATGTCAAAAGTTGATATATGCCATTCTATTCAGAATGTCATTTTCTATCGAATGGAGTAAAAACATACTGAGTCTACCATTTAAAAATCAAAAGTTGTAGTCATTTCCGGTGAAACAGGAAGTAACCGAAAACAATTGAATACGTCGATCAATCCTGAAATACCCGGTATACGATATAGATAAAATGAAAATCTATAAGTCTTTTTATGAAATGAAACCGACATTATTTGGAAATATTAAATTGACACTTGATCCAACTACTGTGGCTAAATTAGTAAATTGTACACTAGCCAAAAACCCCGTAATTTGTGTAATCTTTTTGTGTTTTGTGCTTCAGCTAGCTAGATAAAATACAAACCAACAACTATTCCTAGCTATTTTAGCAGGAATATGATTTTCCCTCAAAATAACCAAGCTAGTTCATATAGTTCATATAGTTCATATACTATACAGCCAGGTCTATAATCCAGCAAAATAAAGCACTAATTCACCACAATACACCAAAGTTAACATCACATAATATATATGCGTAGACTATACATATTAGTCTGTGCTAACAGCTTAAATCATACCGAATGCTAACATGGTTAGCGAAACAGGCGTCCAATGTTAAAAGTAAGCGATTAGTGTTTTGTTATGCTGTTATAACAGCAAATGTTCTTGTAAATTCCAATTGTAATTATATAAACTAGCCAAATATAAATGTTAACCGTAACATAATAATATAGGGTCAAGTGGTGTAAAAATTAAACACTTCTGAAAACTTTCAGTTTATTTCTTAGTTACAACCATCTAAATACAAAAGTATTTATTCTATAAACAGTAAAAATATACCAAAAGTACCCCTAAAAACGTCAGTATGCAGAAAAGCCAGAGAGAGGCCCTGCTATTGTTTATATTAATTGCTGAAGTATAGATGGGAGTAGAAGGATAGAAATTAGACTTAGAAATTTATCTTTTTTATTAGTAGAACTGAAATAAAAAAATTAAACTAATAAGGAACCATAATCCAAATCAAAATACAGTAAAATTACACCGTCGGAAAACATTTATAAACTGAAAGTATAAAACAATTATATTAAATTAAAAAGGAGGAAAAACATGTAGTTATTACGTGACACTAAAATATTAGTAGTGTCACTTACAGAGTAAAAAAATACAGATTACCAATTAACGAACAAATATTTCTCAAAATCTATTGAAAGAGCAAATATCTCACCAGTCCTAAAAGTCCCGCATTGCAAATTTGATGGTGGTAATTTTGAAACAATGTCTTTCTTTAAAGCATTATTTATCTTAGTAACTACAGTCACCTACAATTTTAATCAATATATGAAAAGCTTTAGCTGCGTTACATCTCCGCTACTGACTAATTTTGCAGCCTTTTTAAGATTTTTTTGTGCATACTTGTTTGGTTTCTTTACATTTTTTTTTTGTTATTGTATGAGTTGTGACTAATATTTAAAAATGTACATGCTATTAAGTTGTCTCACATTTACCCCTGTGTGTGTCTCGTATTTACCCCTCCAAAAAATAGCTTCTCAAACCAATAGAACTTAATTTAAGCTGACATGTCTTTCTCAATCATATACCGTAACCTACCTATGCCACGCGACGACAGGAGTTGAACGCTTACTACTTCATACTGATGTCATCCGACAAAAGTTTGATAGTCAGTTTCAAAAGTTCGAATAAAGATTAAAAAATTATGGGGATATGTTAACACTTATTGATAAATGTTCCTAACAAGAAAACTGACTGAATATATGCTTTTAGTAGTTTTATTTGAATGTCTCATTTTTTACCTAAATATATCTCATTTTTACTCCACTTGACCCTACGCATTTCAAAATAAGTATTACCTTAACAATAAAGTAATTTATCACAAGTAATAATCCGTATTTACATCATCTTACATCACACCGCGCACGAATCAGTGCAACGGAATCCGCACTCCGGGCACCCGGTTCCTCCGGTGCCAAATCCGGCGGCCGCGGCGGTTTTCTCCGGGAGCAGCGTCCAGCAGTTTCCGGCGGCAGGCCCTCATGCGGAACGACTATAAGTCTCAATTTGACCGTCGGACAGTCGTTAATTTTACCGGAAAACCGTTTCACCCCGACCCGCCGCTCGCCGACACTGATTTTCTTTCCGACGGCGACGCCATTACGAAAAATCGGACGCGGCGCCGCCGTGACGTCACCGGAGTCGGCGCCGGCCGGGGCGTCGGCCACGCCCACCGACGGAGGCGTCTCTTTTTTGTTGGTGCGTTCGCAGTGAGGAGAGGGGTAGAAGTGAGGGGGTAAAGGGGGAGGGTATGTTGAGGGTGCTTTGTGTAGTGCCGCCGGTATCAATGGGTATTAGGCGGGATGATATGTGCGTGGTGATGGGATTCGATTTGTTCGTTTGGAGGGAGGATTATGGAAAACGGGTCTTTCTTACGGATTTTCTAATTCTATTGTTTTTATTCATTTATTTCTTAAAAACCGAAATGTATAATAAAATGTGTTTATTTTAATAAAAAAAATAATGATATCAAAATATTTGAGTTGCCTTGTTCCATGGACGAATCTTTTTTGAAAGTTTTGTTTAACAACTTGTGCATTCTATCCTAATTAATCCTACGACATTCATGATTAGATTAGATTAGTCATTGGAAGTGTCTATGGGCCTGTTTCACTGCGACATTTTTAAATCTATTGTGGTCCTATACTAACCTCTAAGTCATATTCTTCAGTCCTTACCTTTTTCAAAAGTATAATAACTTGAAGACTGAATCTTGCATATAGCTCTTTTTGAATGGCTTCATCATCATCGCATAGCAGCATAATAATAATAACTCGTGCACTGCTGGATATAGGCCTCTTCAAATTTCGTCGATGTCTTGCAGTTCGGAGCTGTCATTATTCAATTTCCATCTATCATCGCTCCAGCGCGTGTGTGCCGCCATTTCAATAATCCTTTAGTGCACCTGTCGTTTGATGTTCTCGTTTTATGACCTTATTTGATCCTTGCATTTATTCAGAGACCTACTTTTGATGAGGCCTGTACTATTTCGACATTGATACCTCAGTTCTACCTTTTGAACGGCTTATAGGCAATGATAATACAAAGAAACGCTGTCGCACTGACAAAATCTGTTCTTCTTTACGTTTTCGTTTGACTTTCCTCTGTCATTTTCGGCTTTAGATGCCTATTAAGGTTACAATGCTCTGTTAGTAGACCCACTATGGCTTTGACGGTCTTCCAGTGTTATATCAGGTCTGCCGTAAAATTTAGACTGCTCTACTCTTTTAAGTAAACTTTCTTGCCTGTCTCTACCCTGGAGGCGAAAAACTAATAAATCGTAATTCATTTTTCACTACTAATGGGCTACAATTTATTTACATTTATCAACTTCTTCTATTTTTATAGAATAATTATTATCATTTCACTATTTAATTTACAAAGGAACTATTCACCCCCATCTACGCAGAAAATTTATCTTAAATATATTATCTGTGGTTTAATCCACTTTCAAAAAAAAATACACTCACTATGGAACTTTAATTACTTCAGCTATCACCGCCTATGTGTTCCCAATCGATTAAAAAAAAAGAGTATGTGAATAAGTTGATTAGTTTAGGAGTTCTCGGGTAGGAAAGGTAAAAAAACATAGTTATACATTTTTGACAGATTTTTGACATTTTCAGAGATAAAAAATTTCTGACCCCTCCTCCCAAAGGTCGAAATTAGTCATTTCACATGCACAAAGCCCTAACCGATCATTTCATAAAAAGTTTGTGTGTTTGACCTTCAAAAATTTTTTTCTAGAAGGAAGCGACTTTCTTCAGTGATTTTACTCCACGAAAAGATGGGTTCTGCCAAACCGACGGTCTTTTTCGTTTGCGGCACTTTGTCGATAAATATCAAAGGATTATCACGACAATGGCAATTTTTGATCCAATTATTTATGTGTTTTGTTTTTAAAGAAATACCCGCCAAAAATTTTGAATGTCCAGTTTGGTGTAGCAACAAACGCCTACAAACCAGGGATAATTATGTTGTCGCCGTGGCGCCTGTTTTTCTTCGGCGCCCTAGGCTATAGCCTAGTTAGCCTATTGGGTAATCAGCCTCTGATACCCAGGTTCACCCAATGTCTTTAGAGTACTTACACAATTCCACACTAGCATAGAACTGATCTCTCTGGAACCGAGCGCCTTTAGGCGCTGCTTGGCTGTCTATGAGGGATATTATTTTATATTTCAAATAAAATATTCTTAGAAAATAAGTATATTTATTTATTAGTATTAGAAAACGAATGTCATAGCCCACTTTTTTCATCCTATTAAAACTAGCAATCGATATGGCTTTTCGCCATATCCACCTGTCATCAAAATCATCCCTTGCTTTACTGGGATATTTATAGCGGCCAATATGTCACGATTGTGTTGCACAGTTTACGTCACTACGTCCTCGACAATACGAAATTAACTCATAGCTTATCTCTTTTATTTTTTCCACCTCAGAGTATCGAAAAAAATATTATTTAACAAGTGTTACTCAATATATACTTTAGAAATGTCTCTAAATGGGTCATAGAAAACTATTATATTAGTAATGCATGTAGTATGCATTACTTTAATATAGGTATGCGAAAATCTGTGAAGCAGCTCACAGATTTGCAGACATATGTATCCACACGCGTGATGTTCATATACTAAGGGCTGGCAAAGGTTAGTCTTGGGTCGAGATTTCCGTATGTAAGAAGAGTATAATGCATTTATAATGTACTGAACAAAGACAGAACAGTAAAAACGTTGCCAAACGTATGAAATAAACCGAGAAACTGTGCACATTGCTAAGAGACGCGGAAGGGGATATAGCAGATTTGTCGCAGTTGACCGGTCGACCCAATCAATAGGTCTGTCCAGGTGGATGACACTTCTTATGGGAGAACTGGCAATGGTTGAAAACTTGACTACAAGCGATTTTCTAGGAATCTTCCTTACCGATAAATTATTGACAAGAGTGACAGATAAAGCCTTGACGTTCTTTCAGTATTCCAGTTCATCTCTTTTTCTTTCTAAAGTGTGCGTTGAAAGGAGACAAAAACCATTTTTGGTGACCCATAATTTGTTATTCGAACACCACTTTTCTCCTTCGGGTCGTTGACGTTGACTTGTCGCCATTTTATTTCTTTTGTTTACACGCTGCATTTTGCTTTGCAAATTTAATACATAAATTATTTAGGCAAATATAGGTTTTTAATAAAACTCCTCGGACTAACGTGTAGGTAAGTGTTGATAATTTTTTTTTCATCTTAACATGCTCATTGTCGTTCTCCTGATTTTAGGTGACAGAAAAGGATCATCAAATCAAATTGAATTTTATATTTTCCTTCCTATTTATCCTTCCTAAATATCAACGAGATGAGCCATCGGAAGAAAGGGACCATAGTACAAAACAGAAAGGTGATCTTTTTTCTTTCCACTTCGGATATTGAAATTATTATATACTGTAGTCGTGTTCGGCATTATGCTCTGAGAAATATAGATAAACAAAGAACAACAGATATAAAGCATCCCAGAGGAAAAGAGAGGCAATACCTGTATGTACTCTCTCTGATATTTGTGAAAGTTACAGCAAAGTATTGTTGTAAATGTCATCTTTTTGATCGACCTGAAAACTTCGAGCAAAAAGATGACACTTTCAACAATACCCTGACAGATATCAGAGACGATACAGGTTTTTCCTCTCTTTTCCCCTGGAATACTTTTAATTTATTATTCTTTGTTTATCTAGATTTCTCAGAGCACTATGAACGAACTCAGCTTGTATGTTTGAAATAATCGTCCAGTTGGCTTAAAAATGATGATCGAAGACATTTCCCATATAATTTTACTTTCAAAATTATGATATGTCTTTTATTTTAAGCCATCTATGACGCCATTTTTTTCAGTTTTGTTATAATTAATTTTGTCTCTTGATCTACTTGTAACATTATTCTTTTAATTTTATTAATTTATTGTGGTGAAATTCATTTCTGTTGTATATTTGATATTGATATTAAACATATTTTTAAAAAATGGTGTATTTTTTGTGTTTTTGTGTATGTCATAATTAAAAATAAATGAAGAAATAATTTTTTTTATTGTTTTATACTTCCCGCCATGCGTTACAATTTAGCCCCTAGTTCCTACAAGCGAAATTGGGGGCGCTAGTAGCAGTAGACTTGTCAACAGTGTCAAATTTAAACGTCAATTTCACTTTCCAATATTTAGCAAGGCGCTCGCACTTCTTCTTGTGTATGTGTTTTGTGGGTCTGTCAGTACTTAAAGTTCTAGGGAAAGGTGTACGTCATGCGTTTAGCTTCACGATTTAATTACGTCTCATGATACTTAATTTGTTTATTTATTAACGAGTCGTTGTAATTTTCCTTATAGCTTAAATTTTTTTAAGTGCAAGCTAGAAACACTTGCATTTTTGGTAAAAATAAGTGGAATTGAGTGGGTGTTCGATAGTGGTCGCGCTATTAGAACTCTGAATTCAAAAATCGATATCTCGAAATCTATTAGTAATAATAGATTGTAGTTTTTTCAAGAACTTCCGAACTTCAAAAAAGAACTTCAAAAATATCCGATCTTGAAAATAAAAAAAAGTTTCAATATCTAAAGTAGTTCTTGAGTTATCGCCTGTTATGTGTTAAAAAGTTGAGTTTTTAAATTATCGCGATTACTGATGTTTTCTCGTTATAAAAAAAATGACACCCTAACGATATCCTTATAATTCCATTTCAGATGCTCAGAAACATGTTTAATGACTTTATCTAGTTATCTCTTGAAAAAAAAGTCTTTTAAAAATAAGCGGTTTGCGATCGTGATTTTACTTTACTTGACAGGGAAAGGCGTACCGGCAACGCCGCAACAGCACACCGTCGCATTTATCTCACTCCGACTTAATAAGATCCCTATGCGATTTACTTCCATACATGTAAATGCCGACTCAAAAGTAACAGTTGCCAGCACGGTATGAGGACAAGACTAGTCGGTATGCTGAGTCTCCATAAAAGTTTGTCATAGCTGCCCATAGACCGGGATACATATACCGGGTCGGTATATGTATCCCGG